ATATACTATACAAGCATGAACAAATTAGAGAATTCCAAACCCAACAAATAAGCAAGTGCATAATAGTTGTGTTAGTCCATTTTCTGTTGCTGTAACAGAATATCACAGACTGCGTCATTTATAAACAACAGAAATTTATTTGGCTCATGGCTCTAGAGGCTGGGAGGTCCAAGATCAAGGGGCCATATCTTGTGAGGGCCTTCTTGCTGCATCATAACATGGTGGAAGGTCTCACATAGTGAGACAGGGCAAGAGAATGAGAGCTCAAGAGACAAAAAAAAGGAGACTGAACTTATCTTTTACTAGGAGTAGGAGCTCTCTCCCACTGTAATGGCATTAATCCATTCATAAGGGCAGAGCCCTCATGATCTAGTCACCTCTCAAAGGTCCCATTTCTTATCACAATGGTAATTACATTTCAACATGATCTTTGGAGGAGACGTTCAAACCACAGCAATGGTAAAGACGCAGGACTAGGAACTGGCTTCCTCACAAACCAACTATCTGGATACTGCTAGATAGGGCCTATCTAGTTGGTTTGTGAGGAACTATCTGGATACTGTTAGTATAGCTCAAATGTCTTCTAGGAGGTCTTCCCTAATTTTCTGACTAGAGGCGACCTTTCCTTTGTGGTTCCACTGATTATGCACTCTTTTCTTAAAATTTAAATTTTAAGTTCCAAGATGCACGTGCAGAATATACAGGCTTGTTACATAGGTAAACATATGCTAAGGTAGTTTGCTGCACCTATTAAGTCCCACATGTATTAACGATTTGATAGTGGGTAGAGGACTCCATATTTTTATCATGGACCCCCAAATAATTCTAAAGCAGTTGTTTCCCACTCTGCTCCAGCATCGCAGCTTTGAGAATCACTGTAGAGATGAGCTAAAACCACCTTGTGTAGTTTCCTCTGTTATTCTTTCTGATATTATCCTGTTTCTTTCCTTATGGCACTAATTGCTATAAATACTATTTATGTATCTATTTGTTTACTTACTGCTGTTTCACTCCATAGAGTTTGTAAGCACCATTAAGTCAGAGACATACAGCAAATGCCCAATAAACATTGGTTAAATATTGAAAAATAAACCTGGGATTGAACCTTGGAGTCCTGAATACCCTGCTAAGCATTCAAACCATATTCTATAGGCAAACCACTTAATCTCTCTGTGCCTGTTATTTCCTCTCTAAAATATGGATAATATCTTTTCTATGGGATTATTCTATAGATTGATTGAAATAAACATGTAAATACATGCAAACTTCTTAGACCTACTCCTGGTTCATACTAAGCACACAAAAAATTAAGCAGGCTTCTGTGGATTTCGGTTAGAGTTATGAGGGTTTGGACTAAGGTAGAATCTTAGTAAGAGAGAGAGAGGGATATCTGGGAGAAAATTAATGGTAGTTAGATCACTAGATGTGGGGCAAAGCATAGGATGTAGAAATCAAAATAAAAAGCAGAATCAAAACTGACGGCAAAATTTTGAGCCTGGATGACCGGAGACTGGTGACAGAAATGGGGAGCCTCAGAGGAGATGTAGTTCTGTGGGGTGACTCTGAGTTCAATTTGGGACCTGCTGGGTTGGATGCTCCAGTGGAAAATGGAGAAGACGTCCATTAAGTAACAAGAAGGCAGAAATGGAGCTTAGCAGAGAGTTTGTGCTGGGAAGACTAGTTGGAGGGTCATGTAGAGGGCACATGGACTCATAATCCAGCAGGTTCTCAAGGCATAGGTGGGACATGGGGGGAGGGGCAAGGACAGAATCATTTACAATCTTTATATTTAGAAGGTGTTGTGAGGGTGTAGGCAGAGGGAAAAGGAGCTAGAGAAGGGGCTGTCAGGTAGGTAGGGAGCAAACAGAGAGAGCAGATGGGGCACAGTGAATTTTAAGAAGAAGCTGGCTAATAAAGGGGCTAAATGCCCCTGAGCAGGTAAGGAGGAGGAGGGTCAAGGAAAGGTCTGGAATTTTGTCTTGAGAGGTGTGGTGAGAAGGGCAATCAGATCTGAATAAGGCTTCAGGTGAGGATGTGGAGAGAATGGCCAGGGTGTGAACCATGCAGTCTGTGAACCAGAAGCAAGGGTTTCTAAATGTTACTTGGGCAGCAAGGTCAACCCCGTCCACAGAACTGCACCTCAAGGGGTAGCCAGGCCAGCACACCTCACTCAGCCTGGAGAACAGCTCTGAGCTGCTGAAGAAAGATAAGTGAGTATGAGATGAACATTTTTTTTTTTCAAGGCTTATAGAACAATCAGATAACAGTCATAATCTTTTGGGGCTGCTGATAAAGCCATGTGTCACTTTGGCCTCTAACTTTTGCAAAACTACTTTTGTAGATGAAAAAGTCTCATTTAGCTGCCTAAAAATAGATTTCCTTTGTGTAAGTGACCAAACGTTACCAAAACTATGAATAACTGAAAAAGTGTTAATAAGTAGAAGACATTCTGTAAAATCTCTGCTTTTACTTAGAAAAATAATTCTATTCTTCTGTGGTGGAATCTTGCACTCCAGGGTGAAAAGTTACCCACCTATCATAGATCAAAATGGAAAATGACATGATTTACTCATGGAAGGCTACATAAAAATGAAAAGGAAATCTTTCAAATTTACAAGACTACTCATTATTTTTTTTAATAGACAGAGTCTTGCTCTGTCATGCAGACTGGAGTGCAGTGGTGCGATCTCGGCTCACTGCAACCTCTGCCTCCCCGGTTCAAGCCACTCTCCCACCTTAGCCTCCGGAGTAGCCTGGACTACAGGATGTCCCACCACTACGAGCTAATTTTTGATTATTTGTAGAAATGGGCTCTCACTATGTTACCCAGGCTGCTCTCAGATTCCTGGGCTCCCTGGATCCAAGGATCACCTTGGCCTTCCACAGTGCTAGAATTATGGGTGTGAGCCACCACGCCAGGCCAAGATTTCTTAACTCAAACAAGCTCCAAATTATTTCACAAATACCTAACAGATTAACTGACACTTCTTGTGGACAATAAGTCCTGCCAGCTCTAGCCTGAAAGTATATTCCTGACACGGCACCTGGAAGGCGCGCAGCTGGGCCAGCAGAGCTGGGCTGGACCTCAGGCCGCTTTCCTGTGCAGCGAGGCCTGGCCCGGGGCACCACCCACAGTCACTACGTGGCAGCCTCACCATCCATCGCCAGCTCCAAGCCACCCATGTCTCCTGCCTGGACCACAACCACGATCGCTTATTTCTGTCTCCAGCTGCGGTTCCTATCCCTGCCCCCAACAGTCTGTTCTCCACACAGCTACCAGAGGGATCTTTCTGAAAGTTTTATGAAAGAGTAGGATCCAAAGTTCTCCCACCATAGCCCGCCAGGCCCTTTAGGCCTGGCCGCTTTCTCCCTCTCTGACTTCCTCCTCTTCCCTCTGCTTCCTTGAGCTCCCCTGTCGGGGCGACACACCCAGCCGATTCTGGCTGCGCCTTCACCCTTGCCATCCCCTTGACCAGCACCATGCCCCCGCTCCATTCCTGCAGAACTGTCTCTCCCTCAGTGGAAACTTCTGGAACCATCTTGTTTATTGTGGATACCAAGAGGGTTAGGCTGAGTGTGTGGCCAGGGTGGGTCTGGTTAGTAGTCCCCATCAGGAATACCAAGTTGCAAGTGGGAGGCCCCGCCTGAGGATGGGGTCTGAGCTTTGCACAGAGGGGAGGGACTTCCTGTGGCGTCCGCCGCGGCCGAGAGGCAAGCAAACAAGGGGCTTGTTGCTTTTCACCAGTCCAGTCCTGCCCTAGACCTCCTTTTGGGCAGAAGGTCACCCTGTTGGGGCGAGGGGACGGGGAGTGGCACTTCAAGACCCCCCTCCAATGAGGAAGGCAATGAAGCCAGGAGGAAGCCACAGTCCTAACATGGAGGTCACCGTCCTTCCGTTCCAAGACATAAATTACCAGGTCTCCGCTGCTTCTGAAGGGGCTGATGCAGGGCTGCGCCAGGCTAACTGCAGCGCAGGAGAAACCCGAGGTTTCTTGGGACGGGACAGGAATACCCTGAGCTGGAAGCCTGGAGACCTAGGCTTGAGTGATAGGCTTGATTTTCAATGCCCTTGGCAAATCTTGGAAGTCTCTTTACCTCTTTGTGCCTCGGTTTCCTTCTAAAAGTGTGATGGTTTAACTAATCGCTGTTTCTCAAAGTTTGCTCCAGGCACCCCTCACTGGCTTGTTCAAACCCAGAACTGCTGACACTGAACCTCGAGGGGAAAGACTCAGGACTGGCATTTGACAGAGCTCGGTTGAGAAATCCAGTGATCTCTAGGTTGATTTCCAAGTTCCCTTCTCCAGAGTTCTATGGATTTTAAACCTTGAACATACAAAAATATTGAGAGGAAAAAAGAATCGTGGCATAATGGAATTTATCTACTATTGTTTACATTGTCATGTTACCAAATTCACAAATCTGTCATGATATTGCAGTCACTAAGGAACAATAAATACCCACAGCTCTTACAAATGATTAACTAAATGATCAGATTTTTCATTTCCCCACCAAAGCATGAGGAAATTTATCTTAACTTTAGCTGCCTTAAACCTCTCTGAGTGAAAAACGTTAAAAATAACTGCAAATTACTGACGACTAATGCCCTTCAATTTGGCCTCAAGCTGAGAAATTCTGTGCAGAAATAAAGTGGTTTATAACCCCACAGGTCCGTTCTGTTATAAACTGCAGGTGGCAAATCAAGTGACTATGAACGATGCTGTGTGTGTGTGTGTGTGTGTGTGTGTGCGCGCGCGCGCACCCGCACGCGCAAAGCAATACTCAAGAGGGTATTTCAATAGGAATTTAACTACCCAGACAAAAGGCAGATGCTAACTGAGAGGACCCAGGAATCTGGGCAATGTCAGACAGTGGCCTGAGGCCAGAGTGGCTGTCATCCCCCTCAAATGCCCACCAGCCAGGGCAGCTGCATCTGCCCTTTGCAGAAAAGCAATCTAAAGCAAGCACAGAAGAAAGCTGGAAGGAAAATAACTGCAACTCACATCGATGACCTATTTTCTGAATCCGGCTTATGAGAGGTTGGATTCTCATTCCTTCCAAAACCAGCAGAACACTTCAAGCCCAGAAAATGGTGTCTTTGATGACTAGAATGTATGACACATCGTTACCAAAGGACTTTCTTTCGACCTAGGTTCCAAGAGGTGTTAGCCTCAGATGACTATTGTGGGAGGAGCCGATAAATCCACCAAATCCTTGGTGACTTTGCTTCACTATTAGGCAAGATTAAGATGATGCTAATTGGTAGTGAGCCTGATCTATTTAGTATCTCCTACCAGGAGACAGAGCAGAATCAAAACCATTCTCATAGATCCCAGTTGCATGTCATTTAACAGTTCCAATTTGATATTCTCCCAACCTTTTAAAGTTCCTTCATTCCAGATTAAATTCCTTCATTCCAAATGCTTCACAATCAAAACTAATCATCTTTTTGTGAGTCAAAGCATGTAGTCAGGGTCACTTTTGTGAACTGCAGATGTACCAGAGGAAACACCATGTTTCTGATCTGAACTACCAAGAAAAAAAAAAAAACAGCAATTACTGAACAGCATTCAGCAGCATGCCCCGGGCTATGTGCAGAACAGTAGGTTAAGAGGAAAGAGGGAGGCCGGGTGTGGTGGTTCATGCCTGTTCATGCCTGGTTCATGTTCAAACAGAATTGTTTGAACCTGTGAGAAGGAGGTTGCAGTGAGCCGAGATCACACCACTGCACTCCAGCCTAAGCAACAGAGTGAGACTCCGTCTCAAAAAAGGAGGAGAGAGGGGAAGTGAGGAACAGGAAGGCAGGGTTCCCAAGAAGCTTCTTTTCTGGCCAGCTGACATGACACTTGAAATAACTGAAGCAGTGGGAAGCAAGAGCTAAATAACACTGGATTCGTTATATCCATCAATTTTGAGGAGGAGTCGGCTCAACCCAGGACTTGAGTGGGAATGCTTCCTGGAGCAGATAAATCTAGGAACAGTTCTGAATGAAGAAGTGAAAAAGATTAGTGTAGATGAGGCAGGAGAGAAATCCAGAGCCAAGAAACAGCACACAGAGAAGGCAAATATGAAGAAGGTGGTTTAGAGGACAGCGATCTTACTGCCACTGGTCAATAATGGCCTTTGTGTTTCCATTTACTGTCATAAGAATCTTAAGAATGGGGATAATATGTTCTATGTTCCTATATTTCCTACAGTATTTTCCTATAATAATTGCTCATATTACAGCTAGTAAAATCATGAAATCCTACAGTTGGACTGAACTTATCATCCCATCTATTTGTGGGGTAAATAAATTAAAGAACAAATGAGCAGGTTATTAAAATGAAACAGGTTATTAAAAAGACCAGCCTGGTTCCAGTAGAATTATAAAAATAATCAAGAGATGAAGTTGAATTTGTATCCAAGAATCAGTCGAGGGCAGAGCTTTCAGGCAGCCTGGGGGTTGGAATTTTACCTCAGAGGTGACAGGGTGCCACACCAGGCTTTTAAGCAGTGGAGTCACAAAGGACATTTTCTTTGCGAAAAATTGTCTTGGCAGATTTTTGCAGGAAAAGCCAGAACAAAAGGACAGCAGGATCCCATTGCAACAAGGAATTAAAGGCTATACAGCCTGGAAGGTGACCGACAGCCTGCCCAGGCCCAGGGGAAAAAAATACTAGATGCCCCAGCAGAGGAGAATGGGCTAGACTGTCTTTACCAGGGATTTGCTCCAGGTCCTTCCAGCCACTAGGCCCTAGTAATTTATCCTCATTTCCTTCCCAACAGCCCCGCCCCTCCACCTCAATCCTGACAGTGCTTATTAGCTCAAAATGGACCATTTGAAGGAAGGGACAAGCTCTTGCAAATAAACCAAGGGCCTGGTCTGCTCCAGATAAGTGTTTCCTCTAAGAAAGGAATTATAATGCATTCCTAGTGTGAGTGCAGCAGCAATAGCCTGACAGCCATTTGCATAATTTCTCTTCTGTAACAGACTTCAAAAATAACAATAGGTAAACTGGATAGAATCTATTCATTTTAATTTGCTTGAGCTGCTATCTTTAATGAAGCTAAAGTACCATAAATATTTTAAATCTATTAATTATGTGGCGTATCATTTGTTCTCTCCAATGAGACATTTTGGGGAATGGACATTTAATTTGTGTTGCTATAGAATCACCACTTTATTCTGGGATGTCCACTTGTTTTGAATGTACTGTTAAGGCTGGAAGGTAGCTTGTTTAGAAAGTTCATCTAAGAGTAGCAGAAAAATGCTCACTGATCTCAAGAATAAAATATATATACATACATCAAGTCAGGAATGACTCAAGAACCCAGAAGTGACCAGCCTGGGCAACAGAGCAAAACTCTGTCTCTACAAAAAAGAAAAAAAATAAATTAGCCAGGCATGATGGCATGCGCATGTAGTCCCAGCTACTTGGGAGGCTGAGGGAGGATCATTTGAGCCCTGGAGTTCAAGGCTGCAGTGAGCTATGACCACATCACTGCACTTTTGCCTAGGTGACAAAAAATAACATTAAGACGAACAGAGGTTAACCTCTCAGGTTTCTTCATCCATTTATGGAGTGCCAGGCACTACACTTGATGGCTGATGAATTGCAAAAAAGGAAAACAAATACCTAACTTTTGAGTGTCTTCCCGGATAATTTTTCCAAAGAACATCTTATTAGGTTTTGCTCTAAACAGGCTGGACGTGGTGGCTCACACCTGTAATCCCAGCACTTTGGGAGGCCAACGTGGGCAGATCACAAGTTCAGGAGTTCAAGACCAGCCGGACCAACATGGTGAAACTCCATCTCTACCAAAAATACAAAAATTAGCCAGGCATGGTGGTTGGTGCCTGTAATCCCAGCTACTCAGGAGGCTGAGACAGGAGAATTGCTTTAACCCGGGAGGTGGAGGTTGCAGTGAGCTGAGGTTGCACCACTGCACCCCAGCCTGGGTGACAAAGTGAGACTCCATCTCAAAAAAAAAAAAAGTTTTACTCTAAACAGATAAATTTTTGGCAGAACCAAATAATCAATTTTCTGCTCCATTTTAATATCCACATTTTCATTTCATGGGTTTTAGCCCTCAATTCCAAATGACATTCTAAGTCAAATAAGAACTTAACCAAAGTCATTAGCTAATACTTAAAAAAAAAAAATCGTAATGGTAAAAAGAGAATCTCTGGGTATTAAGTCTGCCCTGAAAAACAGGGCAAATAGTGGGTCCAGTTTCAGATTTTAAAAATCTGTGGCTCTGGAGTTCACCTGCTTTACCTGCCTCCCCACTGCCCGTGCGTGCGCACGTGCACACACACACACACACACACACACACACACGGCGCACACACAGATCCCTGGGGGTTGTTCCTAGACTTTTATACTTCTCTCTGCATAAAGCTCCATCTTCCTTCATTTTGAATATGGTGAAACTACTATAATTTATCATATTACCTCCCTAATCATATTTTGGAAAATGTCATGCAGAAGTCTTTGGTATTAGTAATTTCAAAAATCAATCCTTCCGATATACTCTATAATCAAAGCACAGTGTAATTCATTCTGTCAACATCTATTGGCTTTGGGAGGCCAAGGTGGGAGGATTGCTTGAGCCCAGGAGTTCAAGACCAACCTGGGCAATACAGTGAGGCCCTATCTCTACAAAAATAAAAGATAAAAAAAATTATCCAGGCATGGTGGTGTGTACCTGTACTCCCAGTTACTCAGGAGGCTGAGGTGGGAGGATGGCTTGAGTTCAGGAGTTTGAGGATACAGTGAGCTATGACCTTGCCACTGCATGCCAACCTGGACAACAGAGATACTGTTTCTACAAAAAACAAACAAGATAAACAAAAACATTTTGTGGTGCCTGTGGTGTGTCAGGTCCTGGTGGAATAAAGTAGCCTCCTTATCCCTGTGGGGCTCAGAGCAGGAGTGTTACACAAGGGAAGTGCAAGGTGCTATAGGAGCCCATGACAGGAAATCTAGCCTCTGAGGTGGTTCTCCAATGTGGATGCACATTGGAATCACCTGAAGAGATTTACAAATATGGATTCCTGGCCCCACCTCTCCGTGGAGATTCTGGAGTATGGTTCTGAGCACCAGCAGTTTTTAAGCATCCCAATGAAGCAAAAAAGTTTGTGAATCATGGCTCTAGGGGAGTGGTTCTCAAAGTTTCATATTCATCAGAATCTTCTGGAGGGCTTGGTAAAACAGACTGCTGGACCCCCCATCCAGAGTTTCTGACCCTGGTGGTGGAGAAGAACCCCAGAATGTGCGTCTCTAACAAGTTCCCAGGTGATGCTGAACCACCCTTTGAGAAACACTGCTCCAGAAGGTTAACTGAGGAAATGAGCTGAAGGGATAGGGGACAGGGAGTGTTTTCAGCAGAGGGAAGCACTGTGTGAAGCCCAAAGCGGAGACAATACCTAGGCAAGCAGACATTCCTGGAACAGAAAGATCTGTGGCATGGCCTGAGGTTAGGGAGCAGGGAGAGAGTCACACAGGGTGAGGCCAATGATAGGTGAACACAAACCCTGGTCTGCCACATGTGATTCTGAGAAAAAAATGACTCCACGAAGCAAAAGAGGCTGCTCCTTTTCACAAGGATTGGCCACAGCAGTATTGTCCAATCAGTAGGTTTTTTTAACTCTCAGATTATGAAAAATCCATGCTAACTTATTATTAAAAAGTAATAACACTGGGCAGGCATGGTGGCTCACGCCTGTAATCCCAGCACTTTGGGAGGCCGAGGTGGGTGGATCACCTGAGGTCAGGGGTTGTGAAACCCTGTCTCTATTAAAAATACAAAAAATTAACTGGGTGTAGTGGCAGGTGCTTATAATCCCAGCAACTCAGGAAGCTGAGGGAGGAAAATCACTTGAACTAGAGGCAGAGGTTGCACTGAGCCGAGATTGTGCCATTGCGCTCCAGCCTGAGCAGCAAGAGTGAAACTCCAACTCAAAAAAAAAAAAAAAAAAAGGTAATAACAGTTTATGGAGGATTAACATTTTATAGCTTTCATGACACTTCTTCGAGTGTTATCTCATCCAAGTCTTAAATCCTGGAATGCAAGAAGGGCTGGCACTCCTGTCTTCATTTTACCAGGTCTAGAACCCCATTATCAGCCTTCTGGTCTGGTCATCTTCTAGTACAGCTCATTACCCTCCAACTTTTACTTCTACCCACAAATAGAAAAGTCCAGTCCTCTAGAAAATTCTCATCAAAGTGCTGAGAAAAATACAGGAGAATCCAGCTCTCCACATAGAAGGTAACATACACACCTGCCCATAGCATTTATACATGTGTCACCAGAGACTGTTCCAGAAGGCCTTGGCTATGTTTAGACAACTATTTGACTCTCCAGAAATTCAATCTGAAGGCCAGACATGGTGGCTTATGCCTGTAATCCTGGTACCTTAAGATGGGAGGACTGCTTAATGTCAAGAGTTCAAGACCAGCCTGAGCAACATAGTGAGACCCACTCCCCAGTCTCTATAAATTTTAAAATTAGCTCATATGGTGGCATGTGCTTGTAGTCTCAGCTACTCAGGAGGCTAAAGTGGGAGAATCCCTTGAACCCAGAAGGCTGCAATGAGCCATGATCTCACCACTGCACGCCAGTCTGGGAGACAGAGTGAGACCCTGCCTCAAAAAAAAAATTATTCAGTCAGAGCATAAACTTGATTTGGAAGAGAACTTAGGTATTTGTTACTACATTCGTAGACACTAGTCCTGAAATTTGAGCAGCTGCCATGAGGGGGAAGCAATGTCTGGGTTTGGCTCTGCCATAAGCCAACAGGCTAGGCAAACTGTGGATAACTTAGAGACCACACAGTATAACAAGCAATTCAGGAATTTTTTTTCTGTCAAAATTAACACTCTTCAGC